ACTATTCCAGAAAATCCAGACTTGCTTCTTATTAGAGACAATATGGAGGAAGTTTAGGAAATCTAAAAAAGACGGGGCAGAAGGAAAGGCAGTGTGGAATTAAAAAACCAGAAATTGGATTCCTTTGGGGCCTCTGAATTCTCCGAACCCTTAGTGAGAGTCACTAGGGCGACTAACCAATGTTGAATATCCTGTGTTGGAATATTATGAGAATTTTTAATCCTGATTCCTTTAATATGCTCCAAAATCTTAACAGGATTTATAAACCTTGCTTTATTGCTGTTCTGAAACCCTTGATTAAAACAAATCCCATCACTATCATTAGGAAATTTTTTGGTTTTCAATTCTTAGCAAACATCAACAATATGATCTGGATCTTCATTAGGAAGGAAGCAATTTACATTGTCCTTGCTGATCATCCTCAGTTTATGCATTTTTAGTTGACATTGATGATTTCAACACATTTATAACTGTGTTTTATGTTGGGTGCACTCCTGATGATAGGATTGAGCTATGGGCTAATCTAACTCATATTGGTAGCACTATGAATCAATGTTGGTGTGTACGTGGTGACTTCAATTGTGTTTCAAACCCTACTGAAAAATGGGCTAATGTGAACAGTATGTTGGATTTCACACAAACAATCTCTTACTCTCAGCTAATTAACTTGGGTTTCCAAGGTTCTGCTGATACTTGGAAGAGGGGAAAACTACATGAAAGATTAGATAGATTTTTCGTTAACTCTCGTTGGATGGATAGATATCTATACACTACTGTCAAACATCTACCTTTTACTTGCTTAGACCACAGGCCTCTTTTACTTCATATCTCAGCCAATCTCTCCCGACTCCCCTCTAAATTTAGATATCTCAATGTCTAGGCTAAACACCAAGACTTCTTGAGAGTGGTGGAAGAGAATTGGACTGCTGTACAAGCTTCATCTTACTGGCTCAAACTGTGGTTTCTTCATAAAAATATCACCAAGGCTCTAAAGAATGGAACTGATAAGTGTTTGGACATCTAACTGAAAGAGTTAAATTGGCTGAACAAGCTACGACAACATTAGAAGATGCTATGGATAATGAGACTGCTTCTAAAACTGATATGACTGATGCTAATGCCACTTTGCTGAGAGCAATACATTGGGGGAACAGTTCTATCGGTAGAGAGCAGCCAATACCAAGTTCACTGATGGTGACAAAAACACTAAGTATTTCCATGCTTGTATCAAATTCAAAAGGAAAATAAATGCTATCCTTAGACTCAAGGGCTTGGATGGTATCTGGATTACTGACCCAAACCTCATCTCCAAGAGTGCAGTGGACTATTTTCAGTCATCCATGAACCATGGTAATGCTCAGCAGCCTAACATTGACTCTACTATCTTTGTTGATTGCTTTCAGTTGACTAGGAACATCCAGCTTACTCAAATCCACGAGGAGCGGGAAATTTGGGAGGCTCTCCACTCCATTGACAGTAATAAAGCTGCTGGTACTGATGGTTTCACCTCTGATTTCTATTAACAATCTTGGCATCTTATCCAGAGAGATGTTATCCCAGCTATACAAAGTTTCTTCAATGGTGCTGATCTCGCCAACTATTTTGCAACTTCCACCATCACTCTTTTACCTAAAGACGACAAGAAGGAATGGTGGGACCAATTCAGGCCCATTTGCCTCACTTATGTTATTTCCAAGATTATCAGTAAAATTATTGTTCAGAGACTCCAACCTTTTCTCTCTTCTCTAATTGCACACAACCAATCAGCTTTTATCAAGGGTAGAAATATTTCTGATAAAATTTTACTAACCTAGGAACTTATTCATGATTTGGACCGGAAATATAGGGGTGGCAAGCTCATCTTTAAACTTGATTTAAAGAAGGCTTGTGATTCTTTTAGCTGGAACTTTTTTAACCGGGGGTTTTTCTGAGGATTTTTGTCATCTGATCAATAGATGACTTCACAACTACTTTTATACTATCCTGATTAATGGCCAATCTCATGGCTTTTTTCAAGCTAATAGGGGTATCAAACAAGGGGACCCCCCTTCTTCTTATTCATTCTTGCCATGTATTACCTCTCTAGACTATTGAATTTGGCTTACCAACATCATGGCTACTTGAGGTATGCACATAAGAACCCTAGCTTTTTGAGCCATTTGATTTATGCAGATAATGTAATCCTTTTTTCCAAAGTGACCAAACCAGCTGTTAAAAAAGATCTTTCTGATTCTGGACCATTTTCAAACACTTTCTGGCCTTAACTAAATAATCAGAAATGTCAAGTCATTTTCAGTAAAAATGCAAGCACTGCTCATAAACACTGGATCAGAGATTTCTCCAACTTCAAAGCAGCTACCTCTCAATTATTTGGGGATTCAGTTAATTAAATGTAGAAGGAAGCAAACTCAATATGATGAAGTGGTGCATAAGATTGCTGCTCAAATTAACTGTTGGACTTCCTCTTTTCTATCCAATGGAGGGAAAATTACCTTACTCAAGAGCATCCTCTCTTTTTTGCCCATGTACAATCTCCAAATGATTAAAATGAAAAGGAGCACTAAAAAATTGTTGAATGTTATGTTCAATAGGTTTCTGTGGTCTGACCAACATAAACAGCTACATTGGAAAAGCTGGGAGAAACTTTGCAAAGCTACTGAAGCTGGAGGCATGGGATTCAAAAGCTTTAATGATCTTCAACAAATTTTCTTCTGCAAACTTTGGATCAAATTCATAAGATAGGATACCGTTTGGCCTGAGTTCTTATTTCACAAGTATTGTTCTAGGGCTTACCCAATGATGGTTCAACAGAAGTTGGGGGACTCCAAGTGTTGGAAACAACTACTGAAAGTAAGACAACAAGCTGAAAACTTCTACATCTGGGACTTGGTTGAAGGAAAGATTGATTTCTGGCTTGATAACTGGCTTCCTAATGGAATTTTATGCCCTCTGGATCAGACCCTAGAAGTACCTCAAACTACTATAAAAGGCTGCTGGAATGATGATTGTTGGGATATGAATCAACTAGCCACTTTGGTGGACACTGAAAAGTGCCAGCTGATTGGTCAATTCCCATTAAACACCATTAAATAGGATTGCATTATTACAAAAAATCAAAAGCATCAATCCTTTCCATATTCATTTACAAACACATACATAATGATCCTAAGATTGTTTGGGGATCAGGGGTGTGAAATAATAAGTTGAGCACCTCGATGGCTTTCTTTTGCTGGAGAGGTTTCCACAACATTTTCCGCACTGATGATATTCTTAAACTTAAGGGACTTAGAGGCCGCTCTTGTAGTTTATTGTGTATGGAGGAGGAGGAATCCATTCAACACCTTTTGCTGGATTGTTCCTTCTCCAAATAGATTTGGCTACAGCTTACCTCCAATCTACAAGTTCCTAATCTGAAGTTAAACTGGGTATCTTTTAAGGATTGTTGGCTGGACTGGAAGAATTGTAACTCTGACCTCACAGCTTTGATCACTTTCTGGTTCATCTGGATGGCCAGTAACATATGCAAATATGAGAATTGGAAGGAGCAACCAAATAGGATTTTTGTAAATATTAAAACCAATTTAGTGAAGATGCTGAAGATTGCTGACCCCACCAAGGGCAGGCCACCAAGACAAATCATTCAAACGGTGTATTGGAGGGAGGAAACCACAGGAACCATGGATCAAAATCAACACTGATGGTAATTTCCACAAGGATAAAGCTGGTATTTTTGTGTATGTGTGTGTGGGGGGGGGGATTTTCAGAAATTCAATTGAGAAATGTTTGTTGTTTTTCTCCTCTCCAATCTTGGCTGATGTTGCTATACAAGCTGAAGTACAAGCTGCCCTGTGGGCTCTAAAGATTTCTCTGCACTTCCAATAGTTGAACATTCACCTAGAGTTAGATTCTGAACTCTTGGTAAACATATTCAACAACCAGCTGGAGGCTCCTTGGCACATTCTCTACTGAGAGAGGCAAATTAGACACATCACTACCACTATGAATAAGATTTGGAGTTTTATCCCTTGAGAGGGGAATCAAGGTGCTAATTAGCTGGCTAAATATGGGTCCCACTCTAATAATCCCCTGTTAAGTGATACTCCTGACTCCACATTAAAGGGCCTACTTAAAGGTGATGAGCTACCTCAACCTTACATAAGAAGCAAAAATTGCCTTGTGCTTAGTCTTGGTGTTATCCAGGGTGTTAGTATTGGGTGCTCTTGCTATTCTCCAGGGTGTTTGCACGCACTTATTGGATGTTTTTTTGGTGTTATCAGGCTACCTCTTCTACTTTAGCATTCCGCGGGTGTTATTCGCGACTGTTTCTTTGTGGTATCCTTGGTATTATTCGGTATCTGCGGGTGTCGCGCTCGGGAAGTGGTGTTATCCTCGCCTGTATCTTTTGTGTTATCGGTGGTGGTATACCATGTTCGACCGGTCTTTCTCACCGCGACACGTCTTGGGGGTATCAGGCGTGGTACTCTCGCGTTATTTCGGGGGTACTTCGCCATGTCGATGGTTTTATTGGGGGAATTTTCTATTGCCTTTTTTTTGGGGTATACTTGTATATTTTAAAATCCTTTTTTGTTGAGTGAATTGTATACCTTGTGTGTGGGTTCATTGTAACCACTCACTAAACCCCATTTTCGTTCTTTATTATCAATGTTATTGCCTTCGGGCTTCCTCAATATACATACATACATATACATACATACATATACATACATACATACATATATATATATATATATATAGTTATAAAAATTGAAATTTAGTTGCTAGATGTATAATTACATGAGAATTGAATATATGGTTGTAAATCTTCCTAAAAATTAACTGTTACATAAAGAAGAGAAAACAGATACAAAAAAAAAAAAAACAAAGGGAAAAGCCACCAGGTTCATCTAATGGCTTATCTAAATCAAATATTGCATACGATGAAACTGACATTTAATCACTTGACGTTTTGTAATTGTTTTTCCTTTAAATTTTCGAAGCAGAAACCATGATAGCAAAGATGTTTTGGAGTTTGGCCAGACATCACCATATCGATCACAGGACGCAGCAGTAGGAGCTCTTGTTCACATGCTGAGGACTGCGCCCTCTCTGCGCCAAGATCAAAGCCTCTCATCCCAGTCCACCAAGTCCGAAGTCAATTCTGAAGCCAGTACTTCTAGCTTTTTCCTGTCTCGTAAGAAGTCTGACGCACTGGAGGAGCTAAGAAGTTACAGGGATATGAAAGAAACTCTACTTTCCAAGAGTAGAAGCCAGATGCTAGATTCCCAAGAGCAAACAACAAAGTAGCTTCTGCAGCTAATTTCTCATTATTCCGAACAAAGACTAGGACGCATTTGTTGCTAATGTCTGGTGCAATCACCTTCACTGATTCCAGGTAGGTGCTACTTTTTTTTCTTACCAAGACCAACATTGTACATAAGAAATGTAACTTAATTGTGATTTCTTTGTTATTGTTTAACAATTGATTTAGTTTAGTTGAAGGTTCATCCCTTTTTCTAGGTGAGGATTATTGTCCTTATTTATCAATCTGTGGCTCATGGGTGGATCTTCTCCTTTTTCGTATATAAACTTAGATGGGCATTTTAGCTCGTGCCATCTTCTAAGCTGTCTTGAATCTTTTCTGGTGGTACAGACTGTTAAAAGGCAACTTTGTTTTTAAAATTTTGTATATTATTAGTCTTCATCAATAGGAGCATGTTCTTTTTTTTTGTATAGTTGAGGGTCACTCACAAAATTTCATTAGACTCAAAAAAGTTCAGATCCTAAAATTCTGCATTATTTATCTCCAGTAAATCTAGAATGGAGGAAAATTAATCTAAAGTTATTAAGAGGCAATGGAGGGAAATTTAAAGTTTTGTTGGAAGGGAATTTTGAAATTCAAAATGGGTGTACTTAGGATAGTTATGGTACAAAATAGAAAGTATATCTCATTTGAAAGAGGAGAATGCAAGGAGTCCACTAGTCCAATCCATTTTGGAAAAGGTTAACTCTAGCTTAAGTTAACTCAAATTGAAGTGGTTGGATGATTATGAGGTGATTTTGGTGGTTATGACAAAAAAGTTTGACCTAGGCTTATTTGGTAGAGAAAAATATAAGGAATTGAGTGGTGTAATTAGTTTGGGTCAAAGTGGGCATTGGCCAAATTATAGCCTCACTTTAGGAGAAAAAATTCAATAGATTTGAGTTGAAGCTTATGAGGTGATTATGAAAAAAAAAAAAATTAACTTAGGCTTATTTGGTAGAGAAAATACAAGGAATTCAGTGGTGTAATTGGTTTTTGTTAAAATGGGCATTGGTCAAATAGTAGCTCACTTTAGGAGAGAAAATTTGATAGCTTTTGAGCTGAAGTTTTTATTGGTTTTTAATGGGTTAAATTACATGTTTTTAGCTCATATTTAAGTTGGGTGAAGTTTGGTTTCAATTTGAGTACATTTTGAGTTGATTATTGCGACCGTTCTTTTATTATCAAAATTATCATTCAAATTATCGTCAGCTTAACAATATGCTAAATGAGTCAATTTGGACAGAGAGGCTCATTTAAAAGATTGGCGATCACGATGCTCTCTCAAAGTTTATTTTGAAAAATGTTTATTTTAAAAAAATTAATGCTGGATCATTTTTCATGCATAAAAACTCGATGTGCAAAATTTTACATAAAAAATTGTCTGATGATCACCAAACTAGTTTGCTTTCGCCACATATGTAATTATGAATATTATAAAACTTACAGAATGCAATTCCTATCGCCGGATTGACCTATGAAGAAAAATCATAATTTTAGGGTGCATGGAGCACTATTTATATATGAAACTTGAACCGAAAAGTTTTATGTAAAAAATATATATCACATTATAGTTGAACTTCTTTATGTGGTCTTTATACGTAATAAGAACTATCATGCGATTTTAAACCATATGATGATATGGAGAGGAAAAGATGATATTGGGTTATGTGTTGGTTAAAGCTGATTTTTATGTCAATTTTAGGGTTTGATTGAAATTGATTATATTTGATTCTATTTTGATTTAGTTGATTTCAAACATTGTTTAGTTAGATTTTAGTTTTGTAGGATTAGAGTTTATCTTAAGTTTTAGCTTAGGTAAGATTCAATTGGATACAAGTCAAACAAATGGGTTGACCAAAAAGTGAAATCTAACTTTCTCCATTGTTTAGCTTTTTTTTTATTTGTTAAATGTCTCATATTTTTAAATTTAAAATTTTAAACTTTAATTAAAAATAAAGATACATGTCGTAAAATTAATTTAACTTGATGACAAATTGTAGTAAGATATATGTCTTTTTTTATGCAAATCAATAAAATAGAATTTATTTACCCAAACTAACTTGGTCATTCATGCACCTAACTTAGACATGATCAACATGGATCCCTCTATGTTGCTCTGCATATCGAAGTATTTCGTAAAGAAATTAAAAATGACCATACATATGTGCGACATACAACTATGACAACTACTATAAATTTTTATAATAACTATAAAAATTCAATTACTAAGCTTAGAATATCTTCGATGTGACATATTTGAAGCAACTTTTGTGATTCACAATTTTTTGAAGCACATCACTATAGTTATATAATCAAATTATTGGCTTATTAAAATGATAATTAATATGACTTATTTTAATCATAATCTTATAAAAAAAAGCTTTTCTCATAATATGAAAAATGAGATTTTAAAATTAACTTCTTCAAAATTTTGATTGATTTATGCTCCATCACGTAAAATTTATAGATTCGTTACTCGTCAAACGACACAAGATAAAAATCAAATATGAATAAAATACTTTTAAAATAAGTTTGCATATCTTCAATGGTTTTTTCTCAAACTTATCCGACATTTATTAATTATTTGTTACATTTACTAAGAAAAATTCTAAATTTTAGTGGGATGAAAGATGCCAACATACATTCAATAACATCAAACAATATTTGATATCACATCTAGAGTTTAGTTGCTTCTATCTCAGACAGACCAGCGATACACTCATTGCTGCATTAGACAAATCACTTGGTGCCTTAATAGCTCAAGTTAACAAGGTAAAGAATATGCATTTATTACTTAAGACATTATCCTATGCCTTAAAAAATGAAATATCCACTAATTAAGAAATAATTTTGGCATTAGTCTTCATGGCTCAAAGGTTAAGACATTAAATACTTTCTCATAAGGTTCATCTAGCCTTAAAGATCAGTATGATGTAGTATATGATCAACTAAATAATATTATTTTTGAAGTTTGACTTAATGGTTAATGATACTTCTCCAATTTAACAAAAACTGCATTCAACTGCATATCAGTTCAAACTACGCTTTTGCCGACTCACCCACTTCTTGGAAACTCACCTCTAAATGATGATTGCCCTAATAAATAAATTATAGATTTAGAAGTATGTGCCAAGCCTTGTTGGGAGCTATGCATAGAGAGTGTGTTGTCATCCCAAATGGATGAAAATTTTCAATATTTCATCCATGATAAGGAAAATTTTTTTTATATTAATAACTCTCTATTATGAATGTTGCAGTAATGCTACCACTTATCTGGTACCTATACAATTAATGGAGACGAGTACAAAACTCTAATTAATAAGATTGGAGTAATATTAGTGTATATTAAGATGATTAAAATCATTGGTGACTTAGAGTTAGTTATTTGCCAGGTAGGTAAGATTGATAAGATCCTCAAACCAAAGCTTCACCAATATTACTATTTGAGATTGAAGCTTCATGAGCACATTTTTACCATGTCCTTGTATCAAAATCCCTACATAGATAAATACCACAGCTGATGCATTGGCTATGTTATGGATGAAACTTGTTTCTTCTAAGATGAACATTATTTTTATAAAAACACAAAACAATTAGATTCTGTCTCCCTTGTTGGGGATGATGAGGCAGTTGATATAACTATTCATTGATTTCCTTTAAGATGATAAACTACTTCAGGAGAAGAATTTGGCCCATAAAATTAGAAAAAGACGATTGTATAATAAATAATTTTACCATATATGGTTACATTGATTTAATAAACATGAAGCCTTGGAGGGCAAGACCGTGCTTCATGTCAAACTGTTGGAGTCTAGGTTCTTACTAGCCTTCAATTGAAATATTTTGATGTAGAGACCACTATAAACAAAAATAAATTGAATTATTGGATTTCTTGTCTTTTTCTATTTCAAATGAGCTATGTTTATGATTTTGGCCATGACCACCTCCCCAAATTCAAAATTTCCCTCCATCTTTTAAAACTTTCCTCCGCTCCCTCTCTTAACAAGTTCCTCCTTTTCCTCCCCACTTAATCTCAAAATACCCTCTTGCATTACTCTCTTTCCTGAAATCCCACCAAGTCCCTCCTCTTCTCTCCAAGACCAAAACCCACCCTCTATATATCTCCTCTCCAAGAATGAAATATCCCCCCCTCCTTATTATTCCTTTTCTTCTTAATTAGTCAAAATCTCACTACACTCTCTATCCTCTCTTCATCAAGGAAAGCAAGGGATCTCCTCTCATCGAAGCAAGGAACTCAAGCTATTCTACACAAGTAAGGGTATAAATTACTTTCACTTTCTCTTTTCAAAGTTTTTCATAGAATAGTTTGTGAAATTATGACGTAAATTTTCTTCCTTCCTCACCCTTCTCATCCATGATTGAAACTACTAGCCTTTCTCTTTCTCCCTCTCCTTCTTCCATTGGCCAAAACCCTAAGCAACCACACTCACATTCTCCCTCTGCCTCTCCTACCTAAAACCCTAGCCTTTTTCTTCCTCCCACTTCATCTTCTTTCATTGGCTGAAACCCTATCCTTTCTCTTCTATCCTCTTTTTCTTCTTCCATTGTCCAAAACCCTAGACTTTCTCTATCTTCCTTTCCTTCTTCTTCTATCAGCTTTGCTCTCTCTCTTTCCTAACTAAAACCCTAGCCTTTCTCTCCCTCCCTCTCCTACTTCCATTAGATAAAACCCTAGCCTATCACCACTTATCTTCTCCCTCTCTCTATCCTACCTAAAACCCTAGCCTACCCCACTTACCTTCTCCCTTTCTCTCTCCTACCCAAAATCCTATCCTACTCTACTTACTTTCTTCCTCTCTCTGTCCCACCCGAAACCATAGTCTACCCCACTCACCTTCTCTCTCTCTCTCTCTCCCCCTACCCAAAACCTAGCCTAGCCTAGCCCACTCAACCTTTCCATCTCTCTCTCTGAACAGAAATTTCCCCTATCCAAACACTCACATACTCCACTTCATATGGTCTAAACTTTAACTCTTTCTTTATGATTATATTTTATGCAAAAAAAAAAGCCTCATGCAATAAAAAAATAAGTTTTTACATTTTTATGTTTATATCTCATGCAAAAAAAGTTCTCATGTTTTTATATTTATATCTAATATAACAGAAAAATCCATTTGGTATGTTTATGTCTCATGTTATATAAAATCCAAATGCTATGTTATGTTTCATGAAATGGAAAATCCATGTGCTATGTTTATATCTCATGCAATAGAAAATTCATATGTCATGTTATGTTTGAGGCAATAGAAAGATCTATGTGCTTTGTCATGTTCCATGTAATAGAAAATCCATATGGCTTTGTTATGTCTTATGATAAAAAAAATTCTATATGTTAATTTTATGTCTCATGCAAAAACAAAGAGAAAATTTTCCATGTAGTAGTTTAGATTTCATGCAAAACTTCAAGTGTTTAGTTTCTGTCTCATGCAAAATAAATAAATAAATAAAATAAAATAAAATAATTCATACCATGTTTATATTCCATGCAAAATGCAATTTGTGGTGTTTTTATTCCATGCAAAATTCAATTTGAGATGTTTATGTTTCCATGCAAAATCCAAGTTGGGATGTTTATATTTTCATGCAAAAATGAAATTTGGGATGATTATGCTTCCATGTAGAAATGCAAGTTGTGATGCTTATTTTCCATGTCAACATACAAGTTGTGTTGTTTATATTTCAAGCAAAAATCTATGTTGTGATATTTTGATTTCAACCCATATTAGGCTTCGATGTCTAGGATTGGTTTCTCTTATAAGTTAGATGGTTAAAGAATGATTTGCAAAGTTTAAATAATTAGAGCACGGAACTCTATACATTTGAACAAAATAAATTATATATATATAT